CAATACCGAATCATGAGTAGCATGGTGATGTTACCACTCTACTCCATTACATGGCCACTGGCGCCCATTAGTCACAGGGGAGACGAGACATTCAGGACCGGCTAGGTCTCTTCCAACTCACATTTTAGTAGGATTGTCGATTAAGCAAACATGTATTTGCCGAAGTATTTATATTCAATCATTCTTTAATATCGTAGATATGAAGACCAAGATGGTATGGCCAACTTTTTGGTCGCAATCTCCTTTAGCTTTATAGTGTTGGTTCGACCTAATTTTCGCAACGTGGTCGGAGTACCAGGGAGACCTTGTGGAAAGTGCCTGGTCCCGTGTCCTCCGCTATAGTATTCGTTATTTCCAGCATTGGACCATTGGCTGGGTACATTCCCAAACGTTTCGCCTGCATCGTCAGTTAGAGACGCCATCGTAAGCACAGAATTACAACTTATCAGTCATAGTGTCTCCCTGGCGCTCCGACCAAGTTGCGAAAACGAGGTCGAACCAACACTAATCATTCTTTTAGTTAACATGCATGATATGATTGCTCGAAGGATTTTGCCTTTCATAGTTGTTTCTGTTCATTTCCTCACCTGTAAATTGATAATTTTTTATGCCTAAATTTTTCACTGATGCTAATCATATATTTTTGGTGTAATCTCCTTACATAATAAGAAAAGTTCAGTAGTTCATCAGAATTCCTTACTTTAAACGTCCCTACATATAATCATTTCAGGCAATTTGTAACTGTTTTGCATTGGGAACGACCTATTCTTGTTTCTTTCATCTTCCCTATTTTTCTATTTGTGCTTTATTTATCCTACTTAAACGTCTTGACGGTCAAGTATGTTTTTCTCTTCCCGCTAGATCTTCTAATACTCGCGCTTCAACCTGTACACATCATCCCAGATATCTCGGGCTGCTAAAAAAGGCACAATTAGCCAATTTAACCAAGTGTATTGCGTTAGAATCGCCATTATCATATCACCCGCAGCACATTATAGACTACCACTGTCACCAAAAATCCATCAAAGATTTATCTGATGTTTTACCAGATATGATTCCTAGTAGTATGGAAGCCGTCATGTTTTTGACCAAATTTCTTGGCTTAAAGCAAGAGGTCGAGGAGAGCTTAAAAGGAGAAGGACCTCTGAAGAAAACATGTCATGCTGACCAACGTAAAGCATGTGAGAGAGGCGTAGAATTGGTAACGGAAGCAGAAGCGATTCTATCCAACAGCACCTCAGATCCCTACAGTGGCTTCTTAGATAGCCTTAATAGTTACCCGTGTTCAGGCTCATCACAGCCGCCTCATTTTCAGGAACATCTTAACGACTCCCAAGATGCTTTACGACTCGACTCACCTTCAGAATCCATTGGTCTCGAGCTAACTAGCCCTCCGAGCTCCCAGAAAACGGAGCTCCCTGTTACTAGCCTTATCGAAGCTTCGGTTTCCGGCTGTTCTATTCCTTCACTGCTGGCGCCATGTGAGACTATTGCTCTGGTGGAAGCTAATTTGGTGGTGTGCTGACTTGGCTGATTTGTAACCCATCCTAAATGGAATATAGGTTGGACTTGCGAGCTCTCGTTGTCTGGACTTTGACTCTTGTAAGTTAACTCTAGATGCTAATTTTAGATTGGCATAATTTCGTGCAATTCCACTCGAATATTATGTTTTTTTAATTATGTGTATGCTCATATTGTGTACTAGGGGACTCTTGGTGCCTTACGTCACGGTATGAAAATATAGGAATCATCGATTTTCTTGTAAAACATTCCTTAATGAAATGCAATTTTAAGTTTTTAAGTCCATTATTATAATATTGCCTTAAAAGTTATCTATTTGTTTAAATAAAAGCCCGTAGTTATAAACCTTCTAAGCTGCATTAAAACATTTTTTATAATTATTCAAATATGTTGTACCTACAAGACTTCGCGAAAAGATTAGAATCCAACTGACAAATAAGAACCTTATTGTTGAGACTTTCATTTCGTAGGTTGATCTCACCAGAAGAAGACTAATGAATCTCGTTGTACTGTAGCCGTTTGGCTTTTACACGACGTTTAGTTTGACGTAGTCTGCGAGACCTCCCTCGTTTCGGGTAAAACCAGGCTGATGGAAAAGGTCTGTGGACTGCATCAATCTCAACTTCGTGTAAAAGCCAAACAGCTGCAGTACAACAGGATTCAACCGTTCTTTTCTGGTGAAATCGACCTTCGGATCTCTTCCTTATACGAAAAGGAGATTCATCAAAACCCATTTACTGTTTATATATATAATAAGAACCTATCAAATTGAAGAACTCGGTGTAATTTCGAATCCAAACGCCTATGTATCACATAAGTTTACACACACTAAGAATAATTTGATTGCTTACTTAAATTTTATTGATCGTTTCTTAAAAATTTGTTTTACAAAATGGGTAAGTAAAGAAAATTCTATGTGCTAAATTCCATTACTAATCCATACTTAAAAACTTAAACCATACACGAAAGAAGTGAATCCCGTTCTTTCAGTGAATACAAACTATACTTTTACAGTATTATTTGCTCCAACCAAATTGGCCCATCGATTTTCGCCTCCAGTAACTGGACCAATTTAACGTGTCGTTGACAGGAACGTCTTCGATCTTTGTGAACATGTTATTTTCTATTAAACTAGTACATTGATTCATCATATAATCAAAATATGATAAAAATTTGAATTCATATATACGAATCTATTCATTTACTATTCTTTCGGAGTTGTACGCATCGATTATCTTTTTTCTTATATTTGATGAATTTCGTTCATGTAAGAAAATAAAATAAAATAAGGAGAACCGAGTTTCGTACTTAATTATTTTTTGTTTTTAAGTTTGAAAGTTCATACATGTCAAATCTAGTTATAGTGAAACTTTGGGATTTATTTCGTTATAAATAAATTTATTTATTTTTAATAAAGGAAAAATATAGTTTTAATGCAACAAGAAATCAAAGTTGAGATGTAGTTTCGACTTCGCCTATGTCTCACCTGCACCCCTAGCGAGACTAACCGTGATAGTGTAGCGTATAATCTTGACAAATTAACCAATATGTCACATTGCCTTGAGTACCCTTGGGTGACAGGGCAGGTGCGAATTTGAGTGTAGACTAGGTTTTTTTTCCATATTATGTTCTGTTGTGTGATTATCGATGAAGCAAATTTGTATTTGCTATAGCACTCCACCGCATTAGTTATTTTTCGTTTATAAGTCGGTTTTCGAGGCTACCGTTAGATCATCTATCCCGTCACTTCTTTTTTGAATAAAAATTCCTATTCCAGAACTTCTTTTCTGCTGACTGTTTCTTTAAAGAAATAATTTTCGCTTCTGATTTCCAAATTAACATGCCTTTTTGCATGGTTCGAGTCCCATTTGAGGTGCTGATGTGACCTGTGCGAGGTCACAACTACAGTCCCATCATTAGGAAAAACAAGGCTGTAAAATTTAATGGAGACTTCAGGTCTACCCATATGATTGTTTGCAAATTCAACTGCAAGTCTCCTTATCAACGAAATAAGGTGAATACATCTCATATATATGATCTATTGGTAGTCCCGGAAACTACTTATAAACCAAAAATACGCAACTATATTGTTTGCTATTTTGAAATTTTCGTCATTATTGTAATTGTTATAACGGGGTCAGGCCTGTATTGAGATGGCTGATAAAAGTAATATCCTAACTTTCTTTCGATTATGACTAGCCTACGCACCTTTTCTAATATATTAATGTTCCCTGAATAGATCGGTTTTATTTTTTTCTCATTTTGTTATATATATATTCCTAAAACATTTGTTTATTAACAGAAATTTTTGGCCATTTTCATGTAGCTTAGGTTCTATTTGTCGTCATTTATCTACCTCATGTTAGCTATGTGGTGGTCCTTTTTATATGGCCTGGTTAATAAGAAAAGACCAGGCGTTGATTCTATTTACTATAAATAATATAAACAAAAATACTTACGACCTATTTAACTCTACTTCTTCATCTTTCTTTCCATTCAGCATTTTGAATATCATTCAGATGATTCATTCGTCCGGCCCGTCTGCATCCGACGCTCATTAAACTTCGAGGACCCATTATTGCATTGCTATTGTTCTCATTCTCATTCTGATAACTCATTCCTTCTACTTACTCATATAAATACAGTCTCCTATCAATTTATGCTCCAACCTCATCTCTCAGCTCTTTGTTGAGCAGAAAACATCCTCCCTGATGGTTCTTAGACAGCATTTTACCCACAGCTCTGTTTCTTTTTCATTCATAAGCGCCATTTCCTCATAAATCTTCGCCCTCCTATATCATTTGTCTTTATGTATCCATTTAACTCTTTGTTTATTTTATGCGACTACCTCATTAAGCCATACTTTTCATTATGCGCAGACTTCTTTTGAATGCATGCGTAACCTATGTATACACACACAAACAGCCACTATTTTATCCCATTGCAAATGACCACATATTTTTTGAACGTGAATTCCTCTTTCAGAGCTCCTCTATAGCTAACCGTTTCATTAAGGAATAAATCCTAAGGAAACACTTAGCTTTTAGTTTACAAATTGGCATGCCTTTATGAATTACTGTAATTTTCAGTCACACGAGCAAGTTACATTATCTTTCGCTGCGTCTGGCTTATGCATGCTTCACGAACTTAAATAATCGTGCGCTGCTTGTAGTTATGATTGAAATGCATAGACAAGGGTTTATCCTACCTCATCCATAGATTATTCAAGGTCATTCCTACTCAGGCTTAGCTCAAGCATATTTTGACAAAATCTACAGCCAAATTTTAACAGCTAACAGATGCTCAATGTACATTTCGCATAAGCTAGGTCGGCTATCTTTATACTTTCCGCGCACAAGCAACAAAACCTCTAGCACATCTTAAAATTTGGCAATATCAACCTCTGATGTCGGTTCCTTCCATTTGCTGCAAGACCCCTTTATCGACTACCTATCTTATGGACGTTAAAATGCAGCCTGATGATCTGTATTACAAAAGTAATCTTTGGTCGATCTCCACTTAGCATCTTGGTCATGAGACTGTGAACTTTCGACTTTTTTTAAGATAGTTCGCTTCCGGGTACGATTTAATGCAGGATACTAGCACCCTGCTGACTGGTTAGTGTTTTTTCTAAGCTGCCATTGATTCTAAATTTGATGAATTAAAGCTATAAAAAACCTATATACTCCAAGTGAGCGTAGTCATCTCATCTTATCTTCTGGCCATGCCTCGTTTCGACACTTGATGAGCAAAATGCCACTAACGCTGGATAGCAATCGGTATGCATCGTCTTTTCTAAAAAAATTCCACAACTCTTACGATGAATAAGCATCAGTCTCTAAAATTGTTTGTCGCGAAAAGAGCATCGTCGAGTGATAATAGAATTAAGCAGCCTAATAATAAGTTGAAAAAAGAATACACAATATTGTGTATAAGCTGCACTCGAGCAAGCTATTAAAGTTTAGCTAAACCAGCTCCTGTCTATTTTTGGCTTGTTGACCTGCAAAACAAACCTTGACCTCTAAATATCTGCCAGGTTAGTATGCCGAATTAATCCAACGCATCGATCGAGCTTGGCTTGTTTACTAAACATTACTCCAGTTATTACACTAGGATAATTAAGCTGACTTGCCTCGCGATCACTTTCCCTGGTAATATTAAAAGTCGTATCATCTTGAAGGATCTCATTACAACTTCAGTGAGTGGCCCACTAATATTAGAAGCTTGGAGATTCTAAGTCCACACAGAGATCCAATTCGCTCCCCCACTAGTAGCATCCATTATCATCCTAAATCAAGTAGGATGAATACGTCTCATATAATATCTGCTGGTAGTCCCGAAAGCCCACTTAAACGAAAAGTCACGTAATCGACCGCTTTAGCAAATACGGTCTTGCTTTATCGTTAACTCCACCATGAAATATGATATGAAAAACATGTCTGGCCTTTCTTGAAATTCGCATTTGCCCCATGCTCCAAGGGCACTCATCACAACATGCTATAGAAGTCAACGTGTCGAGATAATGTTGCAGTCATGGTCCGAGTTCCTCAGGTGGGTTTGGTAAGCCCAAGGCGAGACCAAAACTGCAGTCCAATTTGGATAAGACTAATTATTGGAAGGGCAAGGCTATGTGAAATTGAATCAAAGCACTATGTCTACTCATATCATCGTAAGGCGATTTAACTACCGATCCCCTAATCACGATAACCGAAATAGGGTGAATACATATCGTATGTATTAACTATGGGTGATCTCCAAAGTCTAGTCATAAACGAAAAATATTCTTTACTTCACCCAGGCCGACATTACGTAAAATCCTCCAAACCCACCCCGACTGAAGGTGTTATTTGTCCGACTTAGCATGTTGACGGTGATATCAGATTAGGAGTTGAGTAGCCTAACGCCCTTGGATGTAGTGGTATGCCTCAGGAGTATGTGTGTTGCGAAGTTGTATACGACATCCGCGTGATGTCCATTTCATAAGTTTATGCTGTCTTGGCGAGA